TTTTCTTTCCTCTCCTTAAGCAGCCTGAGCCCTTGGTAAGCTCTTTGTTGCCTTTTCCTGGCTCTGGAATTGCCCGTCTATACCTAGGTGGAGGAATTGCCCAGGCTGCCCCTCCACATCTGCCCAGAAGATGCCAACTCCCATGTCCCCATCACGGGGGAGCTTTCCAGCAAGTCAAGTTACCACGATGCCCCCTTCCGCCTGGCTTGGAGCCAACCTCCACCCTAAGGTGATACCCTCCTCATTCCCAGCTCCTTCTCCCAGCTTCAGGGATACCTCAGCCCTACCCTGGAGGGTGCCCGACCCCCAGACCAGACGTACGGTTTATGCAGGATATCCGTGGCTCCTCCCACTGCCCGTTGGGCTGGCAGCGGATGGTGGGCACGTGGCGCTGGATGAAGCCCTGGCTGCACTGGTACCGCACCAGGGCGTTGATCTCATAGCGCTCCTTCTTGCGGCCGAAGGTCCTGGCGTTCTCCACCGCGGGGGGGTCCCCGCAGGCCACTGCAGAGACATGGAGAGCTTGAGGACTCCTGCCTGCCTGAGCAGCTCCTGTCTGCCTGCCTGGCACAGGCTGGGCATGCACAGCCTCTCCCACTCTGCTTCTCCCACATCCCATCCCGTGGGGTCGCTAAGTGCTGGTAGAGAGAGGGATCGGTGGCTGCTGGAAAAGCAGCCAGGGAGAGAGGCTGCTGTGTCCACAGCCACCCTGAGATGTCATGGGAGCAATGCCTTCCTCTCTTATTCCCCCCCTTGGTATAATATCTCTGATGTAGAAGGTGTCTGAGTGCCATCAGGGCAGGTGCCATCACCTGAGGCTGCTGGACGTTTTCTGCTATGTCCATAGTAAGGTAATTCCCTTTGTTTGGGGGGAGAAAAGATGCAGACAATACAAAAAGGGGACAATTGATTAATTAAATCCCTCTCAGTTTGCCTTGGTCCACAAAATTTAGAGGCAGGAGGATATGGAAATTCTGTGATGGGCCTTAAAATGAAGCAGTGGTCTGTCTCAAGGCTCTGTGTCTGCCTTTTAGGGGGGCAGTGGGAGCCGGGCATGGCTCTGGCCACTTGGATCCATGGTGGGGCATGGAGCTGGTGTGTGGCAGTGACAGCTCTGGCTGGCAACACAAAACCCTGGTCCTGGCCCCAGCCCTGCAGCCACTGCCTGAGTCCCCCGTCCTTGCTGGCAGGGCACAGGGTGCTGACCTGTTCCTTTCTTGCAGGTGAAAGGGAGGTGGTAGTTGCAGGGCACGTCGTTCCATTCGCCTCGCTCGTGCCAGATCATCACCACACAGTCCTCGCCCGCCGCAAAGAAGTTATCGGGTTGGTTGGGCCTCCAGTTCTCATATTGCTGCCAAGAGAAGAAAGCCCTTCAACTGAGGCTGAGCCCTCCCCTCTCCTACTCCCTCCTTCTTCCCATCTGCTGCCTTCCCCATGCACCTCACCAGCAGAGACCACAGGTTGCCAGCACTGCTACCACAGTGGTTCTTTCTACTGTGATGGTGCCCAGGAGCTTGGCTGACCAGCTTTACTACAGGCTTGGAAAAAACAGGAGCCTTACAAAGTTTAGGGCTGCCTCCACTCAAGGCCCAGCCCAAGCACTCAACACGTAACTCATGGGGCTCTTCCCACCTGAGAAGAACCTCTTCCCTCCCACCAAAGGGGTGCCTGTCCATGGCAGGGGGCTGCCACTCACCAGGGAGTGCCCATCAGACCAGCGGAAGTCGTTCTCCACAGCCCTGTCGCTGAGGCCAATCCACTGGTAGTCCTGTGCGTGGCCTGGAAGAGCCAGAGGGGGAGAGAAGAGTGTGTCACGGTTCCCCTACTCCTTGTTGGAAGCATTTCTTTGCTATCTCAGCTGTCTCTGGCCCTGGAGCCTCTGGGTCATTTGGCTCCTTCTCCATCACCAGCCCTTGTTGCCCTTTTTTCTTCACATCATGCTTGTCCATCTCCCTCCTGACTCAACAGGGAGCCACCCACACCAGCATGGGTCACCATGCTTGTTGCAGCAAGAGAATATCTTCTGAACAGGCCACATCAGCAACGTGGTAAGAGCAAAGATCTGTCCTAGACAAGAAAGGGCCCTCTTCTGTCACATAGCTGGATAGTTCCTCCTCTCCCACACAAGGGTGAGGCCTCATTAATAAATCTGTGAGCACTAGTTGGGGAAATTGTGGTTTGTTTTACATAATTTCATATAAATCTGCCCATAGACTCAGAGTCCAACAGATGGACCCGTGCCCAGTCTCAAGCTGCCCTCAGCACTCACTGTTCACAAATTCTTGTTCCTCTGGGGTGATGATACTGCTCAGGTGGGCTTGATATTGTCGGCATCTGGTCTCTGCATCCATCCAAGTCTCCCTGTCTTCAAAGTGCCTGTAGCAGTTGCCCTGGAACTTGGTCCAGCCTTCCTCACAGTTTTGCAGGTCTGAAACACACAAAGGAGGCATGAAAAGGAGTTGGAGCATGAGTCTGGAAGCCTTCCAACTCACCTCTTATCAGCTCATGCTCTCATGGCATAGGACAAGACATGGTCACTTCCACTAAGAAGCAAACCCTGACACTCTTGTCTGTGGGAAATCCCAGGGAAAATGTCCAGAAGGCACCAAGGACACATGCAGAGAGGGGAGCCTGTGTTGAAGACCCCGTCTTTGCAGTAACATGTCCGGTGCTACTGGAAAACTTGAGCAATACAAACTTATTCCTGAGTATTTCAGTCCCTGTGTCATGTTCATGGACTCTCTTCCCACTTGTGCTGGCCCACAGAGTGTTCTTGCTTTGGAAAAAAACTCCAAAACCTGAATCCAGATGCCCAGAATCAACAGGTATGTGTTGAAAAGGAAAGAGAGGAGAGTCTAGGTTTGGGTGTTTGTATCAGTTGGTGGTGGTTCTGTGGTTCTGGAGGAGAGACAAGCCTACCAAGGTTGGAGAAAAGAGATGAAAGCAGGAACTTACCATAGTGGAGAGAGAAAATTAAAATCTTGGGAGCTGCTAGAGAAGTACAAACATTTCTCAACTTTTGAGAATATCTTTTACCACCTGAGAAACACTGACGAATTGAACCCATTAATTAACATCTCGGCAGATACGGGAGAGCAGAGGTGAATGGAGAAACCACCAGAAAACACCTTCAGCAACTCCCGTGCCATGCAACACCACACATTTGCTCCACATAACTGAAGGAAAGAGAAAATGAAATGTGTTTAATCTCAGCCTTTCAGATTCCAAATCTACCATCTTTCTCAGGCACTTGCTGCTCTTGGAGTGGTGGGTTTTCTTGAGTCCTCCTGCCTCTCTCCCTTTCCAGTAAGGTTTTCTGTACTCAGTTTCTTTCTTCTGTTGTTAAACTTGGCAGGTCAATGCACTTGCCACCTTCCATCACACTAATTCCTCCTAATCCACCCTTCTGGTATTGTTCCAGCTGGAGATTGCAGACACTTCATAGATGTTGGAAGCACTGGTGGTTGAGGCACTACAAAATGTTTTCTTCCTTCTTCAACAGATCAAATGGATTATCTGGAAGTAACTGAAGGTCTAAGGATTCTTGGTCTTTGCAGGCAGATCACTTGCACAGGTGAGCAGAGATATGCTCTGTCTTTGGAGATTTAAGATTTTTTCCAGCAGCTTGAATGCCACCCCTTGTCATCAAAGCCTGGGGATCGGACAGTGCATGGCACAGAACCTCAGCAGGACATTGCCTAGGAGAAAGGCCACT